CACCAGCTGGTCTGCAGGGTTCCAGTGCCACATCAAAGGCTGGCAAAGCACAGCAGAGCCAACCAACAACTCTGGCCACGAAGAGCCCGTGGTAGCTCCAGCACCACTTCAGCAGCAGCCACAGGGCCTGTCAGGAGCTGCCTGAGTTGCACTGAGCACACGTGCTGACTGCTCAAAGCTCTGGGAGAACCCCTTTTGCCTCCTTTCTAAAAGAGAGCTCTGCTCCAAAATAATAGGATGGAAGAGTGGGATATAAACATTCCAGTAATTCATGGTGACTTCAAAGAAAACACCCAGTGCCCTCCTTACACACAAAAGGACAGCCTGGGGATTTTGGTGTTGTTTGCTTCTGGTTTTCAAACTGTGGATTTATCTCAGCACAGGCACGGGAGTGTGTTTTATGTTACAACTTCTGCCAGGGCACTTAAGACTAAAGGCTTTTTTCCCCCTTGGAGTGAATCATTGTGTGTAGGGGGGTGGCTGGTTTATGTTTATGTTTCTTAAAATTAACCCAGCTAACCAATTGTTCCACACTGCACGTCATTTGTTGCTTCTCTTTTAGGTTCCCCTCGAAAGACAAGCTTTGGAAATAAAAATACATCTGGCAAGTCTGAAAGACAGGACATGAGCAAGCACTGCAGGCAAAGTGGAATTCCACAGTGGACTATTTGCTTCCTCTTTCAGAGATAAATCAAAAGGAAAGGAAAAGAAAACAACACTAGAAGAAATACCTATCCAGGCTCACTTGCAGTGGGAGCATAAAGGCCTTATCCTGTTAACTATATCAACATTTGAACAGAAATATCTACCAAGAATGGAAGGATTCAAAAGCACATTCCTGGTTTACCTTGGTTTGCCATTTCCTAACTTCCTGGCATGTGGAGCTCCAGCAAACCCACGTTCCCACAGCCTGCTCTGGCTGGTTTTGAGGCAGCCTGGGTGTCCCAGCCTCACAGAGCATCCCTCCTGAGCAGAAGCCTTTGCTCATGGGCAAACCAGCAACCCTTTGACTCAGAAATGTGCAGGTGAAAGTGCCCAAATTCGTGTGCTGGCAGGGGCAGGACTGATTAAAAGGCAGCTGTTTGTACTTCCAAAATACAAATTAAGACATATACATACTTTACTGAAGTTTCTATAAATGGAGTTAATCTAGAGATATGTCTAAATATGTACCAGCTTTACCTAATTTTAGGTTAATTAACAAGTTTGTTAATGATTTCTTGATGGAACTTTTATTTTAGGAAGTGCTAAACAGTGTTACAGAGTGGAAAGGAGGGCTCACATCTTTTTTTTCTACAGAGGAATTCTGCACTAACATAAATGATCACATTATTTGACAGAATAAAAGGTGACCTTTTCCATATTGTCTCAGCCTTGTTACTTCTGATGATATTCTTCAGTTACATTTGCCACGAGCTATTTTTATCCATGGAACCAGGTGTATTTATGGAATTACTGTGTGATACAGTGCTTATTTGGTTTCTTATTTTGATTTGTTTTAAATGTAATGTAAGACCTCATGAACAGTAACCAAACTTACAAACATCTAATTGTCCTGTTTCTATTTTGCTGTTTTCTCTATCACCTCCTATATACTCTGGAACAACCCTTAAATTTTGGCCTGATCTTCATTTTTTTTCCTTTTGAGAGCCTATTATTTAGTAGCTGCCAGCAGATGAGAGATTCATTCTTCATTTATTTGATGGCCCTTATTCCATGTTAAGAACCAAGAGATGTTTGATAATAAATAACTAAGGATATTTTAATAATGCAGTGCTCTCTAGCAACTACATGTCTGCACAGCACATACACCCAATTCCTGATTTACCTGGCAGTTTTCAGTGACTCTTTTTAAACCAAACAGCATAAACCAGCATTTAGACAGTACTTTAGCTGCACTGTTGTTAAACTCCAATCCTTTTGTGCTGGTTTTGGCTGGGATGGAGTTAATTTTGCCCCCAGCAGCTCTGTGGGACCGTGGTTTGGATTTGTACTGAGAACAGTGTTGGTAACACAGGGATGTTTTCAGGTGCCTACACAGAGTCAGGGTCTGTTCTGCTCCTCATGCCCCAGTGAGGGGCTGGGGGGCACCAGGAATTGGGGGGCACAGTCGGGACAGGTGAGCCAAGGGATACCCCAGAGCCCATGGGAAGCTGTGGGAAGGCAGCAGGACAGATAATAATTAACATGTCCTTTGCTGTGCCCTTGTTTGCACAATGAATTACAAATAATGTACATATTTACTGACATAATATAACAGCATTTCTGTTGGTTTCCTTTAGCGTCCAAATTTTAGCCAGGAACCAATATTACCAACAGGCTGCCAAAAACCTTTACAAATCGGGTGCCTTCAGAGTTCAGCAGCTCTGCAGCTGCTTTGTGCCTTTGTTAAGCTGTCTCTTCCCATTTAGCCTCCAAATTTGAGCTGTGTGGCTGTGTGTTCTATCTAATTACACACTGACAGGAGGCAGGAGGCACCAGCCACTGTCCAAATTTGAAGAAAGACAATCCCTGAAGACAGTTTGCTGTTTATACTGAATGGCTTCTGTTTCTCACCTAATTCAGGACTTTTGGTGCTGCCACATCAAGGAGTTTGCTGTGCAGTTCTTCAACGGGCTCAGCCTCTGCCAACTTGCTTCTTCCAGCACTGTTTTCATGTGGACTTGGATGGGAGCACTTCTCTGCTCACAGTGGTTTTACTACTGCTTTTATTTGTGCCAGCAAAGAGGTTTTGACATTTCAGCTCCCAACCCTCCTCCCTGAGAAACACACACACAGCCTTAAAGGAAAGGAGGAAAAAATGTGAGAGAATAGCCACTGTTCTGCTCCCTGAATGAATCCCAGAGGACAAAGATCAGGAGAGGTGCCCAGTTAGTCACTACAGGAGGAAAAAAGCTGCAGCAGCTCTTCCCTGCCCTTTTTCTCATCACTGCCCTTTTTCTCATCAGGAATTCACCTTGTTCAACGTAGCAGGACCTCCCCACTAGAGACCAGGCCTCCAACATGGATTGGGAAGGATGCTATGGGAAGTTGGGATTATTCTTATGACCTTAGTCAACTGCTGGAGCCACTGGGTAAAGCACATCCTTACAGCAGCTGCAAAGTTCTCCATCATCTCCTGGAGTCGATTACAAGAGCTGAGCATGAGACCTCTGGATTAATAGCTAAGTCTTCAGGTGGAGTTCAGGACCCCAGGAAAATCAGGATGGGATTTTTCTAAGTATTAGGCTGGTTTCTATCAAAATGGTAGTTTGGGTCCAGAGTTAGTGCTGATGCAAATCCAGCATGAATAGACACAGGCCTGGCTATTTTGATTTTGTCTCTCTTATGGCATCCAAAACATTGGGGTTTGGATTCCAAACATAATCCAGCTTTTAAAGCATTGTTCTCCCTTTCTTTGGCTAACAGTATGCACTTGAGCTCCTGTATACAAACAACCCTATATATTAATATCAATTATATATATTAATAGATACTATATATATATTAATTATACAGATTAATCCCTGAATTACTTCAGGTATTAAGCCCGAAATCCTTAAACTGAAATTCACCTCTGAAAACATCAGTCCAGCTCCAGTGTCCCCCCTACTTCCAGCTGTGGGACCATGTCCACTGCAGAGAGGTTGAGGAAAACCTGAGCATGATGTATGTCCATAACATGAGAAGTGTTTATAAGCAAGTTATCAGTTCTTTCACAGAGGCTTCTCTCTCTGGGCTCTGATCACAGCTGCTGTTGCAGTATGTTATGAGAGACATTTAAAGAATAAAAAAAAAAAAAAAAGGGAAAAAAAGAAAGAAACCCAAAAATGCCTCTCTGTTTTATATGAGAGGTTCTCTTCCTCTGGAAAGGATGCTTCCTGGTCAGCTATAAACCAGAATAATTTACTGAGTTAAAGGCTTCCACATTTGGCCACCGTGCATTTTGCTCTGGAAATGCAGCACCAGCCAATCCAAGGTGAAAGCCAGACCTACATGTAAGAGCCACTGCCTGCTTTGGGTGGGAATTGTCTTTTATTAGAACCTGCAGAGCCCATGGGTGGGCAGGAGGAACCAGGGTGGGGAGGTTCAGTCCCAGGTTGTCACTCTTGAGGTGTGACCACAACACTGCAATCCCTGGAACGCAGCTGGGCAGAAAGGATGAGGAACGTCCCTCCCTCCCTGGGGGAAACCAGGCTGAGGATGCCAGGAGCTGTGATTTGTCTCTCCAGGAATGTTGCCACCTGCAGCAATTAAATCTTCTCTATAATATGATTTAAACGAGAGGATATTTTCCCCCAGAAACCACCAGATCATTGTTTCCTCTGAGTGGCTGTGACAGACAGGAAAAGGGATGCAGGGAGGAGTCCTGGGAACAGGCTCCTGGGGCTGTCCTGGGAGCAGCAGAGGAGCTGTGCAGAGCTTGGCAAAATTAAGTGAGCCTGACAACTCCACCATCAGCTCCCCAGATATACCCATCAGCTAGTGTTAAAGGAGCTGAAACTACATCTAATCTCTGTGTTATCATCCACCTTCTCTGCCTTTGTGGACAGGAGCCAAAGTCCACGTGTAAAACCACTGCTGGCTGCATTTTGTTATTCCACAACCACGAGCAGACTTCCCAAAAAAAACTCCAATGGCTTCTGTTACACATCAGAAGACAAAAGAACCACTTACAGCCCTGGGTTTCTTTTCCCAGGACTTCTGTAAAGCCTTTTTAAAGCTTCTCTAGGATCTCCCTCAAAACAAAGCCCTTATGTCAACAGAAACTCTTGCTCGGATACGCTTCATCTGTTATTTTTTATGAACGTGCACGATCAAAGAACAGCAGCTTTCACAGTTAAGCAAACACAGTTACACAGAGCACACTTCACCCACAAAAGGCCAGCTAAAGCAACATGCTAAATGTTAAACACACGCCAGGGGGACACGTTCCCCTCGAGCGCTCCGGGACGGGGAGTTTTTCAGGAACGCGCCGTCCGCCTTTTCAGGACACAACGTGCCTTTGCAAGGGACCTTACCTGTTCAGTGATGAAGGAGCTCGAAAAAGTGACAGCTGACCAAAAGAAGATCCCACAGCTGAGGATGATCTTCCTGTTGAAACGGTCACCGAGGTAACCAAAGATCGGCGCCGCCACCATGAAACTGCAGATGAAAACTGCACGGGAGAGAAAAAGGGAAGAAACGTTTAATAAACATCAGACCGAGAACATGAAAACTAATTTTCTGCAAACCAAATCCTCCAGAGAGCAGTTCCATTTAATTAGACATTGTGCAGCCCTGCCTCACGGAGCTGCACGGGCTGATGGGCTTTCAGAAGTCGGTGTTTCCTTAATCAAACAGATCTTTCATTCCCAGAGAAACTTCGGATCCATGAACTTGTATTACTTGAAAGCACCACCCCCTGGGAGTCCACTGTGAGCTCAGGATCTGGGGATGGGCAAAACCAGGACAGAATAAATCAAGAGCTTCTGCCTAAACCTTCCTGAGAAGGTGAAGTGGAGGTTGGAAGGAGTTTCAAGCAACGAGAAAACAAGTCAAGGGCTCCCTGTTGGCTCTTCCAGCAGAGACCTGAGAGAAATGGGCTACAGACACTGAGGTTCTTTCATCCTTCCAAGCAGTATTTTAAAGAAACCATGAAAGAGTGAGGGAAACCAGTAAACACCACTGGCACCCCACTGGCACCAGCCCTGTAGTTAAAAACTCCCATCTCTTCATTAGGTCCTTTTGCCAACACTGAGCTTGTATCCAAACCCATCACTGAGCAACAAAGGAATGGCCTCAGCTGAAGGACTACAAGTTCACCTTTTCCCTTTGCTTCCCCCCAAAAAATCCCCAAAGCATAAACCCAGGATCTTCTGTCATGTAGGAATGAGGCTCTTGACACAGTGACCTCTGCAACATCACCTCAATTCAGAGTTCACTCCTCCAGCCCAGCTCAAAACAACCTGACCACTGACACCCCTGAGAACACCTGAAAGGGGGCACTCACACCATATTCCTGATTCATTTGCAACTTGGCAGGTTATAAGCTGATTTATACCTGGATTTTGTCTGTCCACATTAGAGGAACTACATGGGTTTTACTGCTGTGCAGCATGAACTTTCTAACTTTCCCTGTGTTCAGCAAACCCAGAAGGACTTGGGTGGGACACCAGAACACCTGGAGATCCCTCTTTAGTCAGAGTTCTGGTTCTCATTAATTATCAGGTAGTTCTTGGAGAGCAGGGTGGGCCTTTGGCACTGCCCAACCCCAGCTGTCTGCTTTTAATTGTACAAAACAGGGGGGGGGGATAGAATAGGTTAAAAAAAAAAAAGACGAGCAAAGGACACCCCCCCCATTGGAATGTGAGCATAAAAATAAAGTAAGATCCAAATTATGAATTTTTCATGGATGATGATTTAAGATAGTTCCAAAACGTGCAGAATGCTGAACTATGGCTAAATGTCTCATCTTTTTTCAGTATATTAAGATGTCAAAGCTGCTTTATAAATAATACATACCCATTTGTATCTATACTTTGTGAGCCATATGAGTGTGTTTCTATTTTCCACCGTGATATTTGATCTAAATTACAGATTTACTCTTTTTCCATTTAGAGTGAAATAAATGGAGATAACAGAAAAATGGTAATACCTGAAAAGCAGCACATGCAGCTTTATATCACACATATTGCAGTAGTAATGCCATGGACAGTGTTGCTGTTTAGCTCACACATACACTCTATTGACAGAACACTCAGTGCCTGCGTCCATCCCAAAATCCTTGTGCAAATAAAACCTGTTGAATAAAACTACGAGTGTTTTCATCTCTGTTTTACACAGAAACTAGACCAGAAGTGGCTCACAAATCTCTGCTCTGCAAAGGTACATCTGCACTGGCCCTGCTCCAACAAGGCACTTAAGCACATGCTTGTATTGGGCACTTCAGAGCCATCAATTCCATGATTAAATGCTTTCCTGAATTAACACCAAAGCCACTGGCACCTTGCAAGGCTGGTGCAGCAGCCTGGCATGAAGGGTATGGGGCAGAAAATGCCTGTGAGTTGCCCAGAGCATTGTGCCCACTGCAATTTGACCTTTCCCTTGGAAGGACACTGCAGTTCATTCATCTCCAAATCACATCTTCTGCCATTTTTACAATGTGAAAAGATGTGAAGCTAAAAAAGCTTCCAAGGGAAAATCAGGAACGTCCAAGTCAGCATCCCACCATTCCAAATGCTGAATAACCTGATTAATTCAGCCTTGAGACACGCGGGGTGTGATCCAAAATTCACATTAATCAGTGGGATTATCAGCATCAATGACCCCTGGATCGTAAATGAAAAGTCTAATTCTGGAATTTGGGGAAAAAAAAGCAGGCAAAAAGCACAAAGCTCCTCTTTCCAATAAAACAACCCAAAAAAAGATCGTCCAATGACTTTCCAACAACGTCCACCCTGCTGCTGAAATCCCTTTGGAGGGGTTATTTTTGGAAGGCTCTAAGCTGTGAGCTCTGTCAGTGGGGAGCAGCTGACTTGACAGCTCCACAAGGTGTAAAACCAGAGGACAACAGAGCCAAATAAATAACAGGTAACAGAACACAGCTGTCACAAGAATAAATGCAATTTATACCAGAGCATTTATGACCCAAATATGCATGAGAGCATTGATTGACTCAAATAAATGCAGAATCTGATGGCTGTGTGGTCTGTCAAAGGGATTTGCCTGCTACAGGCATTCCCCTGGAATCAATTTTTGCAATTACTCCTGCCAGTGACAGCCCAGGCTCCTGAACCCCAGCCTGGGCTGGCACAACAGAGGGGAATGAACGCAGGGCACAGCTCCAGGTGGGCACGGAAACCTGAGTTACCTGAGAGCAGGAGCTGAGGTTCTGGCACAACTAAACACCACAAAGGAGAGCCCTTGCCCAGGAGGCACAAACCTGCAGCATGTTCAGCTGGAGAGAGGGGCAGCAGAAACGGGGTTAGTTTGTAGGAAGGAGGGCTGAGCACAAGGCACTGCAGTGAAGGAGCCTGGCATTTGTGCCAGCCTCTTCCTCCCTGGCTTCTCTCCCCTCTTCCACAGCAATTTCTGTTCCTTGCACTCACCCACTCCCCAGTTAACACCAAAGTGACACCACAGCAGCTGCTGCTCCAGCTCAACCCACGGCCACAAATGTTTAACATTAGAGGATCACTGGCACTGCTTTTGCCTCTTCCCAATCAACAGCTGCTCTTCCCATTCTCACCTGGGGACATCTCAGAGTATTTCCAGCTCTTGAAGAGGTGGAAAGCGTAAGCCAGGGCAGAGTTAGAGACCCACTGGGATTTGGGATGAGCTCCTGCAAAGGCAGTGATGGCACCAGGAGCAGCTGTGGGCAGATGTAGCTCTGGCAGTCCCATCATGGATCTGCACAGATAATTTCTCCTGGTAAAGGACCTCCAGCAGAGCCAGCGGAGGTGGCTCAGTCCCAGCACAGGGTGGAGCTGAGATCCATTTCTGCAGGAGCAAATTACCATGTGAGCAAAGGATGAATAAACAGACACATAATGAACGCCACGGAGGAGGGAGGCTCTTTTAAGTACAGGTATTTTCAAAAGGAGAACTCATTTGTCTTTATACCTCCCTTTGTGGCTCAGCCGCTGAAACGCCGACTGCGGTGAGGAGGCAGGAAGAGTGGAATTGCCCAAACAGGATGGCCTGGTGTCTATTCCTGCCTCTGGATGCCTGTCCCACCCTGCACAGGTGCACAAGCACCTTCACAGCCAGCACTGCCCAGCTTTTGCCGTGCATGGCTGGAATTACAACAATTCAGCAGCACAAAAATAAAAAACCCTTACGCTTCCCACCCAAACACCCCCCAGAGGAGGAAACCATCCTCCTCAGCCTCAACTGCTGCTGCATGTCCTGCAGTTCAGTCATCTGGCAGGGGTTATGGCCAGGGAGCTGCTATTCAAACCACACTTCCCACACTCAGGAGCTGCCTGTGTGTATCCAGTGGAAAAGTAAATTCCCCAACAGTGGAGGCAAAGGAGAGGAGGGGAGGGGGAGAACTGTAGACTTTGTACTTAACAGCCACAAGAAGCTCCTGAGTACTGAACTAGACTCCACTGCTCTTATTTTTCTCTTCATTCCCTCCAAGCAAAAATTTACCAGCTTGACCCTACAACTATTCCCTGAAAAGGCTCTGACCCACCAGCGATTCCGAAGACGCTGCTGCCTCTGTCTCACTTGCTCTTTTCTTACATGGACTCACCAACCCTTTGTACCTCAGAGAGGGGTTTCTCCTGCCAGCAGGTCACCACACAGTGTAACCAAGAAGGAGGAGAGGCACTGACAGAGGCACATTCAGAGGCTGCCGTTCCTCAGTTCCTGGAAGGCTGAGAGGATCACAGGCACCTCTGAGGAAAGGTCCCTTCTTTTGGGTTTGACTTGAAGCACAAAGGGCTTATTTTTTTCCTCTCAGGAATAATGCTAGAAAGGTTCAGGTTCAGGTAAAAATAGCTCTTTCTACACAGGGATGCTCCACGAGAAAGAAACCAGTGGCTCTCTGTGAGCTCTGAGTCAGCACGAAACCATCGGTACCCATTTAACTGAGTGCTGACGGTGGGAGGCAAAGCCAGGCAGCCTCTGCCTCAAGGGACTGGCAATCCACGGAGACACAGCTGAGAACTATGTGCTGGGAGGTTGGGAATATTTTCCCAACAACAAATTTCCAAACAATGAGAACACCTGAGCAGGCGGCTCGCTGTGGATGGGATAATTTCTGGGTGTGTGCAAGCACAGCCCTGCTCTGCCTGCGTGAGACACGGATTTGGCTGAGCCACTTCTACTCCAGGGACTGTCAGGCCTGAGTGCACGTGTTTCTCAAGCTGCTTGTGGGACCAGTTGCCATCTCCCTGCAATGGTGAATAAACACTCTCCAACAGCCCAACCGTCCCCTCTGTTCCAAAGACATGGTTTTGCAATGCTACTTTTAATTTTCATTTTCACTGTGGTCTTATGCTATAAATATCAGCACACACAACACAGCAGATTTAATCACAGTGGGGCTTGGGACAATTTAGAAAGGAAGTTAAACATTAATTTCTACTTCAGGGCTAAGGAAATTAAGACACAGGGAAGTGACCTGCCCGTGATGAACTACAGAAATCTGGAACCCACACAGGTTTTCCA